AAAATTTTTTTTCAAAACTTTCAATTTTCAGATTTTTCAGAAATTTTCAGACAAAGTACAGTACTCACCTTGAACCCATCACCAAAGCACTGCTCCTGATATCTCATCTTCTAGACATAAGGTCAAAATTTTCAAAAAATGGAAATTCCAAAAAGAAATTTTTTTTTGAAATTTTCAGAAAAATCTGGAATTCCAGAAACTTTTAAACTTCCAAACTTTGACACCACTGATGCATTTCTCTTTTTTTTTATTCCGAAATTCCAATTTGATCGACTATCATCCAGTTTTTCGGCCGGCGACGGCGATTTGCATTTTTTCAGTATCTTCTTTTTATATTTTGGCTGAAAAAAAGTAAAAAAATCTGAAATTTAGGTTTTTTGGAACTGAACATGGCAGTTTTTTCCGCATCAAATGATCACTAGGATTGCTCATCTTTCTATTTTTTTCAGAGAGAAAAAATGACGTCAAAGGGAGAATTTCAGGGGAAAAAGTTTTCAGAATTTTCAAAAATTTTTGGCTGAAAATTTCAGATTTTCAATTGAAAATTCAAAAAAATTTCAAGATTTTTCATAAACTAAAAAGAAAACAAAATTTTTTCAACAATAATAAAATGTTTTGAGATGACAGGGGGTGTAATAAAATTAACAAAAAGATATGAACAAAAAAAAAGACACAAACTACAAACTACACTAAAGATCATTTTTAAGAGGGGGTGGGGAGGGGTAGAATGAGCTGAAAATCGCGTTTATTCGGGCTTAAAAATAGCTTAAAACTGAAAAAAACTCAAATTTTGCAGTTTTTGGCTCAAAAAATGGTCAATTTTGATTTCTAAATTTAATAAAATAGATTAAGCCAAAAAAAACCAGCGATTTAAAGCTCAAAAAATCAATAAAAAATTTATGGTTGTCCCTCGAAAGCCTTGGCAGCCGGATTATCCTTTGGCGAGTTGGAGAAGTCAGGTTTCAGACGTTTCTCAGCGAGCTCTCCGTACGGATTGAATCCCAATCGTTCCATTTCGGCCTTCATCAACTTCTTCTTCGATTTCGGGTCCTTTTCCTCGTTGGTCAGCGGTGGAAGGACGTCGGTGAAGACTCCCGTTCCAATGGTTTTCGCTCCTTTACGGATGGTGAATCTCTGTTGGGGCTCGATGAACATTTGCGAGTTGAGCGATAGTTCCACTCTGGAAAACATTGATTTTTAGGCATTTCTAGCCTTCAGCATTTCTAGACTTTCAGCTAACTTTCGTTCATTTCGAGCTAATTTTGGGTTATTTTGAGTCATTTCCTGCTAATTTTGGATCATTTCGATCTCATTTTGGGTCATTTCCAGCTGATTCTAGGCCATTTTCTGATAATTTTAGGTCTTTTTCATACTTGTGAAATTTCGGCCCGGCCCGGGCCGGGCCGAGAGAAAATTTTCAGGGCCCGGCGGCCCGGCAGAACAAAAAAATTTTGAAAAATGAATTTAAACAGCCGCCATTTTTGTCAAAGCGATAAACAACGCGAATGCGGAATTTCGGAGCATCGTATTTAAAACATTTTTTTAGAGATTCCATCTGAAAATAGGAAACATAGGTTAATTAGGGTTAATTAGGATAATTAACGAAATATTTTCAAAGTAGGTCATGATTTTATTCATTTCGAAGCTTTTCGAAGCTCTTTCATTTCGAAGCTAAACACAACCGTGTATTTTTCACAAAAAATGGATATTTTCTGACAGAGATACGGTAGTTTGAGTGATTTTCGTGGCGAGACCCAAAAATGAAAATTCCTCAAAAGTGGGTCATGATTATACTCATTTTGAAGCTCTTGACAGATGAATTATAAAGATAAAATTTTCAGAATTCTTGGAGCAAACTTGACCGAGATACGGTACTTCCAACTCTCGATTGTTTGCTCTATTTTGTCATCAAATTAATTAAACACGACAGAAGTTCCTGAGTATATTTTGGAAATGAGCGATAACACTGAGAAAGCACCGACTCATAGCGAACTGAAAAGATGATTTTTCGTTCCCATCTAATTAAAATTAAAGTTTTTGAAAATGAATTTATTGATTTTTAGAATGTATTGAAAAATAACTCGAAGAAAAAAAACACTGAATACCTTTTTTCGAAACAATGATTCAACTTTTCGCTCAAGATTTTGAAGTTCGCGGTAAACTTCCGGGCCGACCGCCCTTCTCCGGNAAAACAGCCAGAGATTGGAGAGGAGGCTGTTAAGCAGCTCCTTGACGTTCTTGATAACAAATTCGTGATCCCAGAGAGAAAAGTGAATGAGGAACCAATGTTCGCAGCGGAGCACGTTTACTCAATCGTTGGAAGAGGTACTGTAATCACTGGAAAGTTGGAGAGAGGAATTTTGAAGAGAGGAGATAAGATTGAGATTGTTGGAGGAACTAAGGATGGCACCACAGTGAAATCCACCATTTCTGGATTAGAATCATTCAGAAAGACTGTGGACCAAGCCGAGCCAGGAGATCAGTTGGGAGTGCTCCTTAGAGGACTGGGACCAAAGGATGTCCGACGTGGATGTGTTCTTTTGCCACAAGGACACAAACACAAGGTTACTGATAAGGTCAAGGCTCAGTTGTATGTGTTGAAGGAGAGCGAGGGAGGAGCCAAGACGCCAATTGCCAACTACTTCAGTGAGCACGTCTTCTCGTTGACTTGGGATTCTGGAGCGAGTGTGAAGATTGTTGGAAAGGACTTTGTGATGCCTGGAGAGTCGGCCGAGTGAGTTTGAGCTATTTGGAATGTAGTTTGTAG